GCAAAGAAAAAGTGGCAAAAGAACGGCGAAATAAATTTTAAAAAGTTAATTTTCCTGTCGCATTCGTTGTCAACTGCAGACCAAAGTATTCGTTGAAATATATGTACGTATGTATGTATGTATATATGTAAAACATTTATGCAGAATGCGTAGTCAAGTACAGCGTAAAGGGGCAACTGCAAATAAATGCAGTGCCATGACGAGCAACAATCGTAGCAACAACAACATCAACAAATAGCAAAGCCAGCAAACGAGCAATTGCAGTGAAAGCAATTGCCGCTGCTGCTCTTGCTGCTGCAGAAGCTTTAAAGCCCGCAGAAAGCACACATACATACAAGCATCAGCAATGGTTAGCTTATGGCTGCCACGGCCGAAAAGTCACAAGAATACTTTAATGTGCTCATTTTTATGTTTTTTCGGTTTTTTGTCTTCTTCACCCGCTCGGTCTGCCGCCATGGAAATGCTGCAGCGGCAATATTTATGCTCATAGGACTTTATTGTGACAAGCATTTTACAAAAATTGTGCACTTTATTATCACACTGATTAACGCATCATAAATTATCAACAAAAATGAAAAACGCAAAAGACAAATTCAAACACACACATATATTTACATACATACGCATTGCGTTGAAGCGGTGCGGCTGACGGTAGATACACGTATGTGAGAGAGGCATTTGCTTAAGGAAATTATGCGTAATACATACGTGTATGTATGTGTGAGCACCTGTATGCAGATAATATACGAAAATAATTTAATTAATTTATTTGATAAACGTCATCTACATAATAAAGCTTTTCGATTAAGTCCCAAAAAAGAGACAATAACAATAGCGATACACAAGCATGTCCATCTGAAGAAAATATAATATCATATAATGCCATACTTTCTTCTCTTTAACGGTAAAAAAAAAGAAATTTTGACACCGCAAGCGGAGCTAGAAACTCTTCTGGTAGCCAGAGGAGTGATCTAATGACGGATGTTTAGAGGGAAACACCCGGAGATGGTCAACCCGAAACCCCAATCGTTGACGATAGAGAAGACGTTTCATTACCCGACTATGTCAAGGTTCGAATAGTCATTGCCCATTTAAGGAACAACAAAGCGACCGACCGCCTACCGACCGAACTATTAAAACATGGCGAAGAAGAGTGGAAAAAGGCTTGCCCAACGATTGAAAAATAAAAGTTCTTTGCTCATTCCATAAATGATTCTGCGCCAATTTCCGTGAGACTAGCCTCTTAAATATCCATAAGGTAATATCGAGGGTGTATGAAGGACTATAGCCCACCGTCAACAAACTGATTGAACTTTATCAGTGTGTCCTTAGACCTTCCTAATTCACCATTGACCAGATATTCTCCATGAGACAAATCTTAGAAAATACACGTTTAAAAAGATTCGATACCCATTATCTTTTCATCAATGTTATACGGATGTGTAAACAGACTCTGAACAATACCAGAAGCACAGTCATAATATAGAAGGACTTCTCCGTGCCATTCTGATATTGATAGAATAGGCCCTAACAACCACGCCGTGAGCTCTGATTTCTCCCGACTTGATTAAAAAGCGAAGGGACTGAGTCTGGTAGTAAGCGAAGACAAGAGAAAATAACTCATGTCATCAAAACAAACAGTCATCGCATTCGCGACTTGACTCCCACGTCACTGTGAACAGTCATAACTTAAAATAAATATAGATAATTTTGTCTACATAAGGACCAGCATTAACACCAAGCTACAAAACCAATTCAGAATCACTTTTGCCAACAGGTGCTACTTTGGACTGAGTAGGCAATTGAAAAGTAAAGTCTTCTCTCGACGAACAAAAACCTAACTCAACAAGTCGCTAATCACAACCGCCCTACTACATATCATCCAAATGGGTGAAACCACTCCAGCTTGAAAGTAAACGCTGCAGAACCCGCTGGTGGAAGCGAAGAAAGTGGAAGGCATCCACTCCGTTGGAAGGACCAGAGCTACTTGGTTACACTTGGTATTTCTAACTGGCACCAAACACCCAAAAGAAGAAAAGAATGGCGTGTTCTTATTAATTAGAAGAAGAAAAAAGAAGCGGATATTAAATACCTCCAGATCCAAAAATAGATTACTACTTTCATTTACATAACAAATCTCTTGCTCTGTTTTCTATGCCTCCAATTTCTTTTGCATCAACAGTTAACTGAGACGCTAGTCCCGCAAAGTAATCCACAAACCGGGCCTCTCTTACTGCCAAACATACAACCAAATTTAAAATGTTCCCTTGATAAAAAATCTTTAAACTTACAATAAATATTTTTAATAATCATATAACAATATATCTGATGTAGGCCTTAAGGAGGTAAATATCATTGCGAATAATGAACACTTTTGCCGTATCACTTTGCTGATCATTTGGAAATTGCATTCCAGAAGTTCGAAGGACCATGGCTCATTACCAGGGTGTGAGCGGGCGCAATAGCTGCCATTATTAAGGCCAGGGTTCGAGTCCTGGTTCGAACAACAACCAAGGGTTCCTTGGGAGGGAACGTAAGCCACAGCTATTCACATTTAAATCTTCTGCTTTTGAAAAGAGCCCAAAAACTTTTCTAACTGTATTAATATAAATATAAATATAAATATAAATATAAATATAAATATAAATATAAATATAAATATAAATATAAATATAAATATAAATATAAATATAAATATATATATAAATGTAAATATTTAAATATTTTTTCCCACCAAGCGTTGAGTCGTATAAGTGACATAATCCGAGCAAATAAAAAAAAACAAAAACAAATAATTAAACAAATAATAATTAAAACATCTATACCAACAATAAAAGTAAAATAAATATTATGATTTAAAAAAGTTCTCCATCTATAGAAATTCATTTGCACAAAACTTCCCATCACATTGTAATCCAAATAAATATTGTAGTGCACTGCAAATGAGATACTTCATTACAAGTGCTATAGAGAATGAAAAATACTGATAAGTACTACTACTAGGTAAGCACTAGTACTATTATTGCATGAAAAATATATAATATATAAAAATATGCTCGAAATTGCACACTTGAAATTTCCGGTGATTTCTCGTTCATTTATTCACTGTAAATCACTGCATCAGGCACTCTGTTGCCCGTCCGTCTGTCTGCCTGTCAATTCGTTCGTCAGTCCCGTTCGTTTGTCGGTGAGGGACAGTCATTGCATCAAAGCGCTTGCCGCTGACTTTGTACGCGAGAAGCGGGGGGAAATTATGAGTTTCATTGCTGTAAATGCAAATGAAAATGCGAATTTGAATGCAAATGTGAATATCGATGGCAATGTTGGATTGTTGAGGTTGTTGCTGTCATTGTTGTTGTCTCATTTTTTTTTTTTGTTTATTATTATTTTTTTTTTTTGGTCAAGCATTTGAGTGCACACTCGCACTGGTAGGAATATTTTAACCTTTACATTTCTGCTGATGTCCGATAATATAAATAAATATATATATATTTTAATTATTGATTTTCATCGGTTTTGAAAAAATTGTATTATGCTTTTTCCATAAAACTGTAGAAGTAATGCTGAAAAAAATTATGTTTCATATTTTAAGCCGATTTTCATATTACAAGTGGAGTTACTAACAGAATATTCATGCTAAAATGTATAATTGCATATATTGTAGGTATGTATGTAAATGTGTGCAAATATATATTGTATTGTTTGCTGTAAAAGTTTGCGTGCATCATTAAATTTCATGACGATAGAAGCTTGGGAGAATAGCCAGCAATTGGTTTTTGCTCTATTTTTATTATTTTTTTTTTGTTTTTTTTTTGTTTAGATTTCAAAAATATTTTACTGAACAAGTTCCACTGCTTTTATTTTGTATAAAAATGAAATATATAAAAAATACACATTTGTGTTCTTAGAAGCCCATTTGTGCGAGAAAAACAATTTTAATTCTAGCTAAATTTATATTTATGCTCATGAATATTCAATGAAAATTCTTATCAACACTTAAATGAAATGATTGCAAGGTAAAAGGTCTGTTTTAGCAAACAAATCAAGAAAAATTGGAGATAATATGATGTTATGCATATTATTATGCATAATAAATTTATGAATTTCAGGATTAGAGAGAAAAACATTGACCGCTCAGCTTATGTTTTACGTACGGGAATAAAAACGGGGTATACCTAATCAATTCGATGTGTTGACTGCTCACTAATGCAGTTGTTGGTTTTACTGTATTCCTAAAAGACATCTGGCAAAATCAGAATTCCCTTTTTTGCGCTGTCCTTTTGGTACGATTGCGATATGTCCCGTTTGCCCAAACAACCATTTACTTGGAAGCGCTTTAAATATCTATACAGTCCACTGCTATTTACTTTCGTGAACATACGCATAAATCGAATATTCATCGTTTCTCATGATGTCTTAGACTTGTCCCGAAGAACCGCTATCGTATTTTTGTTTTTTTAGTATTTCTCTCGACCAATTGACTCGAGTATTTTTGGAGCAATAAAACAAATTTTGTGAGATCAAACTAGAAAAAAATTTTATGTTAAATTTTCGTGTAATATTGAATGTATCAGAGTCGTACATCCAGCTGAAGTCGTATAACAATTTCTTGCTAAAAAAACACATGTTACAGGTAGCGTGAGTAATGTGTTTCAAAAACAAATTCAAATCCAACCAAAGGCTCATTGATCTTCGTAGAGAATATTGATTTGTTTAACAAACAAAATAAAATTTTTTAGTAATTTTGACTTGCATTGACTTAATTTAAGTAATTTTGGCATTTGCAAAAATATATAGTCTGATTGATGTTGTGAAATAGCAGTACATTTCGAATTACTTTTCATGACGAGTGATTTAATGAGTAAATTGTCTTTATATAATATGTAGTAGTGTTTATACTTGCATGTATACATGTATATAGATGTAATATTTTTTTATCATTATAGTCATTATTATAAAATAATAAAACAATAATAAATGAAAATTAATTTTTTACTCACCCGGTAAACCAAAAACAGCTCCCAAAGCCACTGATGCCAACAGTAAGCCGAAGAAGAGTTTCATTTTATAATTTTATATTAATCTTTTAAACACTATTAAATATTTAGTGCACAGCCTGAAAATTATTAAAAATTTGATATTTGAACTTCAAAAGAGAATGGAAAAATAATATTATTTAAAAGCACCAATTTATTCGATTTGTTTGTATGCAATACAATTTGCCACAGAGTCAATTTTAACAATTTTATTTAATTTTTTCCAATTATTTTTTTCTTCCTTTATTTAGAGATAATTTTTAACGTTAATTTTCATAACTTTTATTTATTAACGGATGGTTAAAATAATTGCGTATTGTAATTATATTAATTTTATAGCACTTTTCGCTTAATTTGCTTAATAACGAACAGCATAGCGGCAGTACTACCTGTTACACAGTCGAAGTCTAGTTTTTTAACCTGAAAGTCGTAGTACACGTACAAATACTTTTTCTGTTGTGTGCTCGTCTATGCCCGTCTGATGTCTATTGCGATTTGGCGAGAACTTGGCACCTCAGCGTGTAGTTAAAGCGCAAAGCGGTGGCACTGGTTTCATTCAGTTCCACCAACAATAACAACATTGACTTTGCAGTCAACGACGCGCCGATTGTCGTTTGCCGTTTGGTTTTGAGCTGTTCAGTGTGTTTGTTTGTACATATGTAAGTGTGTATATGTGTGTTGATGTATAAAAAATACGGGTTCAACAGTTACAAGCGCTTCCTCCCCACCATAGTTAGTTCTTACATATATATATGTAATATCTACATATGTATTCGTAAGTATTTCTGGTGCTTTCTTTTTCACAAATTCTCTTTTATTATTATGCGTTTATTGAATCAAACAGAACTATACGAGTACACCCACATAGCCGCACACATTGTTGCAATACAGTAATGCCAAACAAAAAACAAAAGTATTAAAAAATATATATAAAATTAAAAAAATAATTATAAGCCGGCACAATCACTGTCACAGTCAACGTCAACGTTGTATAGTGGTATGATATCGTATATTCTTGGGAGAAAATATTTTTTTCTATTTTTATTTGTATTTATTTTGACTAATTAAAAAAATATTTCAACAATTTTCAATTTTAATAAAATATTTTGTAGTTTCAGGAAAATATTGTTAAATGTCCTAGCTTTAAGAATAATTTTATTTAGGTGTTTTAACTATTAACAGAAATAACGTCAGCTGGTGACTACGACATAAAAGCGTAGTTTTATTTAGTCCGATATTCTTATACCTCAGTCTCCCTTTCGACGAACTAAACCCTTTTAAGTCTACATGTTACTCTAGGTATTTGAAGCAATCATTGAGAGCTATTAATAGAAAATGCTTTGAATTTGCCAAACTTTTTTTCCGCTTCATTTCATATTCCTTCTATTTGATTCAAATAGCACTTAAATTTTTAAAATATGTTTTCTTGATATTCCTTTTGTACTAAGTAGACTGAAGAAAGTTAATTGAGCCACTATATAATAAGTTACTAACCAATTAGCTAATTGAACGTCTGTGTGAATAGCGTTTATTTTTCCGTCTGAGTAACGATGAGTAGAATACAACAGAAAGCCAATAAGGCACTTCTAGCTATCATGTATTTTAATCTACTTAAAAATTTAAAGTAATGTTTTTATTAATTGAACTCATGTTTCTATTATTCAATATTAGAAATTCATAATTTCTAGCTTAAAAAACAGTACTTAGTAAAATGGATATCTCTTATTTGCATCAAAACTTATTACTTGAAAACAGATTTTCAATTAAACCACTAGAAGGGTGTAGCAATTTTTGTTTTTCATCACTCATATATTATAGTTGTACCACTGTGCTAGTCTGACGTAGTCTATATCTATTGGTTCACGTAAGTATGTATAATTAAGGAAAGAGACATATGGCAAATACGCGTACTGTAAGTTCAATTCATCACTCTCTTTCAAAACATTTGTTTAAATCCTAATACATAGGTACCTAGGTATACCTAGTGTATATTATACACATATATGAACGTACTTCTGAGGCTGAGTAATTTATAAATTTGTATATAAATATTTATGTTTGCATGTATGTACATATATATATATAATATATATGCATATTGTATACATGCTTATCGCATATGACAAGCTCATTGAGTGGAACACCGGCAAATTAATAACAATTGTATTTAAAGGCCTCTCACATACATACATATGTACACATGGCATACATTGTTTATACCAATAAGAACCTAAGTCTATATATGTATATATGTATGTATGTTTAGTAAATGCGTACTGAATTGCACGCAAGCTTAAACACCCATTAACATTTATACATACTTGTACATATTTGATTGAAAATAATAAATTTGTTGATGCAACTCTCTATTTAATAAATTAGATGAAATGCATACAATTTGAAATTACAGTTACTGCTTCTATTTCATTCATATAAAATAACGTTCGAAGCATATATATGTAAATAAAATTAAGTACGACTAAAAAAATTAATTAATATAAAGGGAATAAAATAAGTAATTATTAAAAAAAAAACAATCATTTAAAAGTTAAGGGCACAACGGAATACAAAATAAAATTAAATCAAACAAAAAAAATATTATGAAGAGATATAAATTAAAATTAATATAAAATAAAATAAAAAGGAACATTAAAAAAATAAATTAGAATTAAAAAATCTATATCTAATTGTATGCATTAAAATTCAATAAAAAATAAATTAAATCAGCGGCAAATCAAATAAAATAAAGTATAATATAAAAATTCAATAAATTTAAATAAAGTGAATTAAAATAAAACAAAACAAAATAAGATAAAATAAATTTAATATAAGTAAACTAAATAAAAATAAATAAATATATTAAAAATAAATCAATATATCTTAATAACTCATATAACTTCCTGTATCAATAAATAAAAATTTAAATTAAATTGTTCTAAAATTATATAAAAAATAAATTTAAAAAAAATATTATTAAAACATTAAAGATAATAAATTTAAATAAAATAAAAGAAAATTAAATTAAATAACAAAAAAGTTAAAAGAAAATGATAAAAAAATAAAATAAAATAAAAAAAATAATTAAAATGAAAAAATAATATTAAATTTATTAAAAAAAGTTAAATTTATAAAGCATGAAATAAAAAACTCAATAAGATGAAATTGAAAGCAAATTTAGAAAAAAAAAAAATTTTATTAAATTAATCAATATTATAAGTCAAAATGCAATCAATCGCATCAGAATAAGATATATAATAAAATAAGATAAATCAAATTAAAGGAATAAAATCAAGTGAAATGAAATAAAACGAAATGAAATTAATTAGTACAATAAACAAGGATAAAGCAAAAGAAAGTGCATTACAAAACTATATTATATAAAAGAATATTAACAAACAAATCACATACTACATAATAAAATAAGAGTATGGAAAAATGCTTTGAAAATTTTACGGCAAAAAATCTCCAATATGAAAAATCCGTCGCATATAAACTGTAGTGGTCTGATATGACCGGTTTCGATATATGCATTTAAGGGGCACACCTAGTATATTGGCCTAAAAAAGGTGATTTTTGGGAGATTTTATTAAAAAAAAAACACTTTATCAATTATTTCAAAATTTTAAGAATAATTCACCATTTCATGTACATGAAAGGTATAAAAATTAAAATTGAATTAAATTTAATTCTATTACTCATTTAATCAAAGGTAATTAAATCGAAATTAATTAAATTAAATTAAGCTAACGTATAAGGTAAGTCAAATTAGCTTTCAAGCCCAGTTTTATACATTTAAGTAAACATAAAAAGCACTTCACGAATATCATCATTTTAACAATGTGTCTGAGGGTAGTGAAAATAACGAGCAGCACGATTTATTCGATGCGAATATGACTATTCTTAAATATACATACTATGCACATACATATAAAATTCATTACGTCAGAGATAGGTTATTTACGAGTTATACGGAGAATAAATTAATTACTAAATCTTCATGGCAATTCAATGTAATCAATTACATATAGTACCAGGGTTGCCCCTCATATTTTGGAATTTGGCAACCCTGATGGTACAACGTGGCAACTCACAACTTTATTGATTAACTTAACTTAACGAGTTCAATCGAGGTCTTAGATTATTCCAAGACGAATTTCGTTATGGTCGTCCAAAATCAGAGGTTGTTCTGGAAACCATTGCTACTGTGCGCAAACTGATATTGGAAGATCGTCATGTGATCTCACGTATATATACATTACTAGTACGGGCAAACAATCAATATTTCTATGAATCAGGCATCCGTAAAATGGTTGAACGTTGGGAGTGGATTGCCGAACATGATGGCGAATACATAATTGATTAATAAAAGCGCTTTCTTCAAAAAATTTAAATTTTAGTTTGCACTTGAAATCGGGCACGAACTTATGCACTCATCCAATAAATAGCTGGAAAAAACGCTCGTTTCGATCGGTCGAAAAGAAGTTAAAATCTTACGAAAGTTGGAGTTCGAAACACGTCTATGACATCGGGACAGGTGATGAATTGTGGATTTATATGTATAGCGGTCGACTGTATGGGTGGTTGAAGAGAAGCCGAGTCCAACAAAAGTTGTAAACTAAATCGCCGAAAAAGTAATACGAGCTTTCACACATCGTCGAGCACTCAGAACATCGATTTCAAAAGTCAACAACAAGTGTAGTCTTGCCTTGGTACCAAACGACTACATTTTATTCCCTGCGTAAAAAATAAACTAAGAGGTCAACGTTTTTCAGCGCAATGATTTGGAGGAACCTGTAGCAGAGTGGCAAAAATGCTTCGGCAATTGGTTCAAACGCGGTGAAAAGTGTATAGCTCTTAATGAAGAATATTTTGTTTAACAAGAAAGCGATGTTCGATGATTAATATTTATTTTTGTTCTCTAATCCGCAAATATGAAGGGCAGCCCTCGTATTTGCAAAACTAATCGTAAGATAAAACAATGTGAGTGATATGTTTACCGTAATTAATTGGCTGAGCGCACCTTACGTAGTTCAGAATACTTAGTTGGCATAATAGAGTTCTTCTTATTATTTATGTAATTATTGAGCATTGAACTATTCCAAAAAGAGCTGAAGAAGAACAATAGTAAATATTTTCGGAACAAAATTTTTTGTATTATATATATTTATAATTTTTAGTGAACAATGGGAGCTCCCTTATGTAGCCATGTTTCTGCATAGGTAGAACTCGTTATAAACATATTTAAATTTCATTACTGAGAAATTTGAAAGCAGATTATTGGAAGCAACAAAACAATAATTTATATAACTTTCATGGAAGTAATCTTCGATTGCAAAACATTCATGACAACGAATAAATTACTTTCAGATCACGAGTTTTTCTGAAGTCTATGCAAATATTTAATAGTCGCTGGCCTACCTATAGGGAAGATAAATTTTTTTTGGTGTATTACATGGGTACATTTATATTTATATGTACATAAATAATGAGCGCTTTATAACCCCTAAAGCAATTTTCCTCCTCCAATTTATGGTATGCG